TGAGCACACATGTGGCCCTTGAGGTCCTCAAGTGAGGCCCTTTGATTGAATCCAATCCCCAGGGGATTTGTTCTGTGATGTTTGGATTCAGTCAAAGGGCCACACTTGAGGACCTAGAGGGCCACATGTGGCCTCGAGGCCACAGGTTCCCTACCCCTGGCTCTGAGCTATGATCTCACTCAGGTCTTCCTGACTCTGAAGCCTTTTAGACAACAGGTGAGGGCACTGTACAAGGTAATGGAAATAGAAAGAGTTAGGAGGAGGCATAGTCCCTATCATCTGTCTCTGAAGAAACATTCAGTCCAGCTAAGGAGACAGGCCACCTGTATGAAAAAATATGTGATAAGCCAGCACACAATAAATTCTGTATGTAGAAAACATCACTGAATATATAGACATAGACACACCTACCAACCTCTTCCACCGTGATTACTTCTATTTTCATTTCCTGGTAATAAATTGAAATCATATTGCACTTAAGTCTCAGTAATACCTATTTTGGTCAAATTTAGCTCCTTGCACTAAGTTCTCTGGTTTACCTAGTTTATTGTCATTTCTATGTAGATGATCCTCAGATCTATACAACCAGTCCCAGTCTCTCTCCTGGCCTCCACACTCATGTATCCTTTTGCAGGGACATCTTGGACTGGATGCCCCTTAGGTATCTCAGATTTAACATGTCAAACCTGAACTCGTTGTCTTTTCCTCCAACCCTTCTGACTTCCCATTTTCCTCTTACCATTCAGGATACCCCCATCTTTCCAGACGCCTGAGCTCACATACTCAGTGTGGTCCTTGACTGCTCTCTGGCACTCATCCCACATGTCCAGTCTGTTGTCACACCTTGTCATTTCTCCCTTCACTTTTCTTGTGTCCCCTTCTCTCCACTCACACAGCCGCCACCCTGGCATAAGCTCTCATCACCTCTCTACTGGAATATTGCTATTACCTTGTCATTGGTCTCCCTGCCTCAAGTCTCTCTCCATTCCAATTTGTCCTTCACCTAGCTGCCCAAATCATTTTCCTAAGTGCAATTCTGATCGTATCACCCTCCAACCAAATAAATTCCAGTGGCTCCTAGTTACTTCCAGGATCAAATATTCAATTCAACTCAATTCAATAAACATTAATTAAGCACTGCTCTGTACCAGGCACTGTGCTGAATGCCTCTGTTTGTCATCTAACACCTTTCACAACTTGGCCCCTTTCTTCCTTCCTTGGCTGCCTTGTACTGTATTACCCTCACTTGTGGTTCTTTGTACTAGACATTCCAGTTTGTGACTCTTTGCTTTTACAGTGGCTATCCCCCATGTCTCAAATACTCTTCCTCCTCTCCTCTGCCTCTTAGCTTCTCTGGTTTCCTTTGACACAACCACAACCTGCCTTCTGATTTTCCAGTTGCTCTCTCTTCTTCTCCAAACCCCTCTGTCTTTCCTCTTGATATCTTATGTCTATATAGTTATTTCTGTGTTGTTTCCTCCAATAAAATGTGAATTCTTGGGGCAACTAGGTGATGCAGTGGAAAGAGCACCAGCCCTGGAGTCAGGAGGACCTGAGTTCAAATCTGGCCTCAGACACTTGGCACTTATTAGCTATGTGACCCTGGGCAAATCACTTAACCCTGATTGCCACCAAAATTTTTTTTTTTAAATGTGAGCTTCTTGAGGGCAGGAATCATTTTTGCCTTTCGTTGTATCCTTAGTGCTTAGCACAGAGCCTGGCACAAAGTAAGTGTATAATAAATGCTTATTATGTGACAAGGGGTCCATATTGACCAACTGATTTATTATTACTCGTATTTGTGCATATACTTCTGAGGATTTGAATTACTACTGCCTATCTTTTTTTTTTTACTCTTTTTAATTATTGATCATTTCTTCTGCTGTTCTTCCTGCTATGTTATATACTTCCTACTCTGTGTGGGGTTTGCCTTGGTCATTGAAGAGGTCCATATGTATGCACAGTATCTTACATATAGAAGACCTTGAGCAAATCATAGAATATAAATGCTGTCAGGGACCTCTGAGACCTCCCTGTGACCTTATTCCATACATATATGAGCAGGACTCTCCTTTATAACATCCTTGGCAAGAGGTAATTCATCTACCTTTTGAAGACTGTAAGTGATGGGGAACTCAATATTTCATGAGACAGTCCATTCCACTCTTGGATAGCTCAGCATCTTTAGAAGCTTTTCTTTATATCAGGCTGAATTCTACCTTTTTATCTTCTACTTCCTTATCCTATTGAACATGAAGTCTATTAAATCTCCAATCTTTTTCACATGTCTAAGCATGTGTTTCCCAAAATAGGCTTCAAAAAATCCCTTTTGTTTTTTGTAGCATTCAGTGCAAACTTCATCTTGTTTTTGGGCTTTAGGCCTTCTGAGTTTATTCTTGTAAGATCATGCCAGACTTTGCTATTCATCCTCTATCACCTATCCTGCTTCACTTTTCTGTATATGCCTTTTAAAAATCTAAATTTGTGAATGAATTCCCTGTGTAGGCATGTTATTCATCTTAGATAATGTCTTTCCTTCCTCATTATTGTGTTTGCTTTATCAGTTTTTTTTTTAATTCTCTAGAGAAGGAGTTCTTTATCTGGGATCTGTAGACCCAAGGGGTCCATGAATAGATTTCAAGAGTCCTGTGAACTTGGATGGAAAAAAATTACATCTTTATTGTCACTAAACTCCAATTTTATTTTATTATGAGTTTGAAAAAAGATTCTGAGGAGGGGTCCATAGGTTATAGCAGATTGTCTGAGGGGGTCCATGACACAAACTAGGTTAAGGATCCTTGCTCTGGAGCATCCCATAATTCTTGATTTAGTTCTCCTGCCGAGTCTTAGGATGTGGAATCCTACTGAGATTTTCACAGAACTCTGGGAAAATCCCTGTCGATTCTACCTCCATAGGATCTCTCTAGTCTTTGCCTTTCACTACTCACATGGACGCCACCCCAGGTCAGGACCTCATTACCTGGGTCCTGAACTATTTCAGTAGCCTCCTAATGGGTCTCCTTGCCTTGAGTCTTTCCTTTCTCCAATCCATCCTTTCTACAGCTGTCAAAGTTATGTTCCTAAAATGCAGTTCTGATCATATTACCCTTTTACTCAAGAAGTCCAGTGATTCTCTGTTGTTTGTAGGACCACATGCAGATACATTTGCTTGGCATTTAAAGCCCTTCGAAGTCTAGCTCTAAGCCATACCCTCCTCCCTTCTACCTCTTAGAATCCCTAACTTCCTTCAAAGCTCAGCTCTGGTGCCATCTCCTACATGAAGCCTTTTCTTTTCCCCTTCCCCCATGCCTCCCTTCCCCTGAAATGACCCTACATTTATATTGTTTATATTTTGTGTAGACTTTTCTGTGGATGTGTTGCTTCCCTTAGTAGAATGTAAATGACTTCGTTTTTGTTATTGCATACCTAATGCTTGGTGTAATGCCTTATGCAAAGTAGGCACCTAATAATTAGTTGTTCTTTGACTATTGTATGTGTATATATTTGTCTGTTGTATATATCAGATTATATCTGGCATTCTCCCTTCTTAACTTTCAGGAATTTTCACATAGCACAATCCAGTAATGACATATGAACACAGTTCTCATGTCCTTCCTGAGTAGTGACACTGCCACAGTCATGATAAAGTCCAGTGCTTTATCTGTATTATACCATGCCATCTCAGCAATCTCTGACACTCTAGGATAGTTGACTGCCTTTACTGTAAAGAGCTTCAAAATCTTCATATAATATATGAATAAATGTGGATTGAATAGAACTTCCCCTGGAGCCTCCGTTATGTGTCTTTGTGTCCACTGACTCTCATGATCCCTCACTCTTTGGAGTGGCCAGTCTTCCTCCTCTTTGTCCCAACTAATCCAAAGCATCTGCTTCTTTTCTTGACCGCTCACCCATGAAGAAAAGTCACTACTTATCTCCTCCCTCTATTAAAAATGACTGTCAATTCCCAGAGGATGTCTCAAACTTCCAAGAATGTTCTTTCTAGAAAACCTTCCTTTGGAACTTAGGACCTTACTGCAATTCTTTGTTCTCTGGAATAGGAACCCCCATCGCCAATCCGGAGCTATTCTCTAAGCTTGAAAGAGAGGTAGAGCCATGGCTGGGAGATGCCCCGGGCAGGAGGAAACTCTTGAGTCATCACCTGGGTAAGTTTGGACTTGCCTTTTGAAGAGGATGTGAGCCTGAGGATTAGAAGAGGAAAGATGGGGGTCCTAGATTCCCCTCTGGCTCCTAACTCTCCCTGCTCCCCCCAGGGATTCTTATAGCTATCAGGTTGCATAGTCGGTCTAAAACAGAGACATATTCAATATCCTTATAGCCCCTGTGTCATGTGTCAGTCTGGGGAATTGAGATACCTCCAAGTAATATAGAAAGAAGGGGCTATGCTATATATGCTATATATACACCACAAGTGTCGATGATTAAGACTAGCCAGAACAGTGGGATGTGAGGAGCTGGAAGAATGGTAGAGTTAAATATGAGGAGGCAGTTCTTGAATCCTCAGATTTTAGCAGCTGTACAATTCATATATATAGATAGAGATATATAGTGTTATACATATATTATATATAAAAGTTCTAAAGTTGCTGAAGTCTGAGCATGTAAAAATTGTCTGTGTATGTTTGTATGTGTGTGTGTGTGTATACACACACATACACATATGGCTGTAGCAATGTGCTGTTTTATATATGGTCTGGAAGAGAAGATTCATTTGGGATTTTAGGTATTATAGAGTTATCTAAAATCCATTTATTTGAGTTAAAACAGTAAGTCAATTACATTAATTTTAAAGAAATGTATTTTTACAGTTAAACGATAATTAAGGTAAAAATTCATTGTTGATGGCATCGAAACATTTAAAAATAAATATTTTGCCTTGTGAAAGTAAAACTTAAAAATTAATGTTTTGACATGCTTCTTTTAATTGTTTTAATTCTTGAAACAAAATTTTTATTTCCTTAGAGTCAATTTGCAAATAGAGCAACTCCTTTATAAATCACCCCATTTCTTCATGTCAGCATTGATAACTATATATTTTATATGATTATGATTGGTTTGTGTATTTGTTACTGACATCCACTTTAATTTTTATTTTAGCCTACCCTGTCTCCACTGTTAGACTTTAAATTCCCGGAGGGCAAGGGATGCATCTCCTATATCTTTGGGATCTAGCCATATCCTAGAGTATAGTGGCTGCTTGGTAAATGATGGTGGTATGGCTAAGCGTGTAGGAGCAGGTGACTCCACAGCTTCAGGGATTCTTCATTGTCTGCCTTGTTCCCTTTTGGTAACCTCCCCCTTCAGGCTCGTTTCCCGTCTAGAGATGGCACAAGTAGTAGTGTTCCTCTGTATTGAGTGATTGGCCTCTGCCCTGAGAAGGGTGCTAAGGGAGAGAGCCCTAAAGAAACCCTACCACAAAGGGTCATTATGTCCGAACCACTGTTCCTCTTGGATCCCTTTCTCCAGCCTTCTTCATATCTGTCTGAAGTTGACCCAGAGAATCCTGGTACTTTTTGTTTAAGATTTAAGTTGTCACAGGGACTAGTTTTTCCTCCCTGGCTGGACTCCCAGCTCTATTTTCATCAGTAATGGTACTAGATTGTTAAGGGAGAACATACAAGCTTGCGGACCAGTTGATATGCTTAGGGCAGGTATTGATGCATTAATAAACACTCCCTTTTCTCTCCCCCTCCTCTCCCAGTGCCAGTTAAATAGTTCCTGGATGAGAGGAGGAGAGTGGGGCTATCTAACACAGGCTTCAACGAAAGAATAATTGAAAGAACTGGGGGCATCTATTTTGGACAGGAGAAGACTAGGGAGACATACGATAGCTGTCTTCAAGAATTTCTTGTGCTGTCATGGAGTAGAGAGAACAAATTTGACTATCTTGTTCCAGGAGGCCCAATCCATCAGAAGACTGGTGGATCAAAATTAAAAAGAAGCAGATTTGGGCTCAACATAAAGATAACTTTTTGATGAATCAAGTTGTAAAACAATAGGATAGCCTTCCCTGGAATGTAGGGAGTACCTATTTACTGAAAATATTTAGACAGAGTTAGGATAGCCATCAGTGAGGGTTGGTGCAGAAGAGATTCACAAAGCACATTACTTTTGTCTCTTTCTCTAAAGGAAATAAGAAGAGGAGATCCATGGGAGAAATAGACATACAGGGTCCCACTGGAGAAGTTGGGTTGTATCTGCCAACACGGAAAAAAGCCTGTGTTTCCCACCTCAGTCACTCAGAATGTGACAGCATTGAAGACTATTCCATAGGAAAAGCCAAAAAGATATTAAGACCGCGTTCCATCCAGAAGTCTTGGTTTCGGCAGTTTCCGTGGTTGATCACGAATGAGGGGCAGACAGCCCTGTTTTGCTCTGCCTGCCGGGAGTACCCGTCTGTTCGGGACAAGAGGTCTAGGTTAATAGAAGGTTACACGGGACCTTTCAAGGTGGAGACACTCAAGTATCATGCAAAGAGCAAAGCCCACAAGTTTTGCGTTAATGCTTTGGCCTCAAGGGACCCCGTTTGGGCAGCCCGTTTTGAGAGCATCAGAGAAACGCCTGAGGATGTGTTGACCAATGCAGAGCCTCTCTTCAATGCAGATTATCCTGTGCTCTACCCACCAGCATCCCTGGGCGATTATGACAGTTTGGTTGAGCTTTTTCCAAACTCCAGATCTGAGCCTGGAGACACCACTGAAAATGGAACAGCATCAGCTCTCTACTTGGATTGTATTTCGGATGTGAGGCAGAAGGATGTTGTCAATGACATCTGTAGCTCATCAAGCATTAATGTTTTATTTGATGACTCCACAGAATTCTTTTGTCAGGTACTATGTTTGGATGATTTTTTCATATCCTTAATTAGTCGACAAGCATTTCTTAAACATTTACTATGTGCCAGGCATTATCCTAAATGCTAGGGATCCAAGAAAGGCAAAAACAATCCTTGTTCTCAAGGAACTTACATTCTGATGGAGAGATAGTATGTAAAAAAGCATGCACATACGAGATATATGCAGAGTAGAGGTAAGGAAATCTCAGAGAATCTCAGGCACTAGCAGCTAGAGGGACCATGGAAAACACCCCATTAAGTCAGTCTGACCAGTAAGTGTTAGAACAGGGTTAGAGGGAGTCTTTTATGGAAAGACACTTCAGTGAAAAAAACTTTATTTTTGATAGGGAGATACAAAAGGTTGTACTCATTTGCTTTAAAATTAATAAATTCAATGGAAAAATTTTTCCTTCAGTATTTTAATGTTAAGGTTAAGTAAGGAAAATAAGCAGAAGAATGAGTTAAGAGTTAGGAGACAGACAGAGGCACCCTAAGAAGCAAAATTCAGTTTAATTTGTAGCAATGTTCTTTTTCGAAACAAAACAGTGTAGCCCCCTGGTAAAAGGGCAAACACTGCCAGATTTTGTTATAAAGGCATCATATAATCCCTGCTTGGGGTAATAGGATGATTTTTGAAACTTTTCTCATTTTCAAAGTGAAGAATGCCATTTTACATAGGGAAAAACAAAACAAAACATTAATTCCCAGAGTGAATCTCTTGTTTTTTTTACCTTTTATAAAGTTGACATGAAGGCAGTGTTACAGAAAAGTGTTTGACTCCCTTTGAAAGATTGCTCCAGTGTTCATATCGTCCAGTTCTCTTAGCTTCTTATCTTTGCTACTGTTTTAGGAAATAATGAGAAAGCCTAGCTCTTTGCATCCCCAGCTGCCTTAATGATGGATGATTCAGCCAGTGTGGGATTTGCGTTCAGTGTCTCAGCAGTGAGTGATATTACCAGGACCATTTCTTAGTCTTATCAAGTAGTGGTTGTCAGTGTGGACCAAAGTTTGTGTGGAGCCTTATGGTGTGCTGGAAAGAGCATTGTCTTGGGAATCTGGAGAGCTCCCTTCCCTTCTAGGGCTGATTTTGTTATGACTGGTTGTGGGACCTCAGGCAAATCATTTCTGCTTCTGGGCCCAAGTTCCTTCAACTCTTTAGTTGAAGGTTTGTTGGACTGTAGTTGGAGAATCCTGTGACTGTATGATCTTTTATATCTTCACCTTTAATTATCAATGAGCTTTCTTGGCTCAGAATTCCCACAGAAGCCATGAGGGTAGCATTGAAATGGGAAAGGCTACTTCCTGGGGAGACATTAAAGGAAGAAGAGAGCATCCCTACATTCTTCTCTGCCTTATTTTTGTGTCTAGCATATAGTAAGGCTTCTTTGTGAAAAGGGAGTACCTAGTACCAGGGCAGCTCTCCCTTTTCCTTCTTCCTCTGAAAGGACACCCAGAGACTAGACAGAAGACTGGAGTTCCCTAACAGAAGATGGCCCCCGGTTAAGAGCAGAGAAGGCCATGGAGTTCTTCTGGCTGCCTCTGCAAGAGCCTTGCTCTCTCCATCCAGGCATCTGTATCTATGCTATCCAGGTCTACCTGTTCTAAAATAGCTTTGGGGTCCATATAGCTAGTGCACCAATTTCAAGAGAGTTGGGGAGAGGTTTAGGAAGTACTCCTGAGGGCACGGGGAAAGTTTCATTCACAGCTAAACTTGGGAACCGTTTGGTTGGGAAGGAACTTCTCAAGATTTTAGAAACAGGAGTATGTCACTGGAATGTGCTTCTATGAAGGCACGCTCCTCATAGCCACCTTTCTTTTCTCCTGCCAAAGCTTACCTGAGGGCATTACTTTAATTATAGGCCTCAGGATACTCTGATGCTAAATAAATTTGTCCCTCAGGAACCCTGGGGAGTTTCTGGGACCTTGTTGAATTTTTGGGTCGTGTCAGCAGATGGGCTCTGAGAAGGCTATCGTGGCACCCTTCTGGATAAGTTCCTTCCTCTGGTCATGAAAGGTGTTTGAATGTCTGGGGGTACTAAGTACCAGATGCTCTTTGTTGCAGGATCCTTCTGAGGAGGGGCTGTTTCAGGAGGTGCCGGTGGTGTTTGAGGAGCTTCCGGTGGTGTTTGAAGATGTGGCGGTGTATTTCACCCGTGAGGAGTGGGCAATGCTAGACAAGCGGCAGAAGGAGCTATACAGAGATGTGATGCGCATGAACTACGAGCTGCTGGCTTCATTAGGTAAAGAATCCTCAGAGTTTTGTTCACCTCTGTTAGGCTCCAGCAGCCTCGCTCCCCTCTCCATTCTTGTTCTTTCATCAGCAGAGGCACTGACTTAGCTGTGCCTCAGAAACCCTCAGCTTTGGGTTTCTGCGTCATGTTCTTTTCCTCGTGGCTGACTCTGAGTGGTTTAGGGCAATAGTAGCAGCTGGCTACCTGAGGACATTCTCACCACTGCTATTCAGTTATGGGAACCTGTGTCTTAAGTGTCACCAAGTTGGTCATTAGCAAATTTATAAAGATGATGAAATGTGTCTGTGCTCTGCCTCTTCCTTTTCATTGCCTTGGAGACCCTGCTTTCATCTAATGTTCTTGGACAGCCAGCCTCTCAGGAAGAAAAACAATCTTATTTATTAAAATCAACTTTAAAACTTTTTTTTCCTCTTGTGTGAACTAATAGAATTAGAGAACTAAAGCATAGAGCAGAGATTGCTTTAATCCAATATCTACCATGAACAGAGCATTGTGCCAGGCTCTGGGAGCTAGTACACATAAGTTCTATTGAATGTAGTCGTAAGTGTCTATGAGTAAGGCTGTCTACCAGGGATAATCTTTTTAATAGCTCATTTTATTTCATATTGTCTTATTTACACTAGTCTTTGTTGAGTTTGTAGGCTATAGGTTACTACCTAAAGATAGGAAGGATCATCGGATCATAGATATAGAGCTGAAGGGGCCTTAAAATCCTTCCTCCTCATTTTACAGACAAGGAAACTGAGATACAGAGAGGTTAATAAACTTGCCTAGGGTCATGCAGCTAGTGTCTGAGGCATGATTCAAATTCAGATCTTCATCTCTAACCACTGTTCCACTTAGCTACCTCCCATGGACTAAAATGCTTCAGGCAAAGTCAGCTCTGGAAGGATGGGAAATGCTCTGTAATGAAATTCTTAAGACATAAAGGGAAAGAATTCCAGTAAACAGGAAAAATGGGATTTGTCTGAAGAGACTGATATGGATGCACAGGGAATTTTAAAAAGAAATATACAGAAGATGGAAGCAAGTCCCGGTACCAGTTGATTAATTAGAGTGTTAGAAGCATGATCTTGTAAGGCATAGGACCTCTGCTTGTGGGGGCTAAGGTGGTAACAGACAGCAGAGAGAAGGCAGAGCTGCCCAGTTTTTCCTTTTGTTTCTGTTTCCTTGTAAAGGAGAATGACATCTAAACTGGAAATGGCAAAACAAAAGTGATTTTGTTTTGTCACAGGCATTGGGTTCCCAAGATGCATAAGGAAAAAGTAAGAGAACACCTAGCTATTTCTTTATGAATTCAGGACAACTGGCCTTGATGAGCTATATCCATGGGCCCTGAAAAAACTGGCAAATGTGATTCCTGTGGTACTGTCAGTGATATTTGAAAGACCAGAAAATGGGAAAGATACCACAAGATTGGACAAAGGCAAGCATCCTTATTTTCAAAAAAAAGGGAAGAGAAAAAATCCTGCAAACTACAGGCTGCTGAATTTGATTTTGATTCCTGGGAAAATCCTAGAATGGATCATTGAAGAAATGGTTGGCCCTCTTCTAGGAAGGGAAGTGGTGATTCCAAAGGGGCAGCATGGTTCCGTCAGCAATAGGTCATGCCTGGTTTACCTCATGCCATTTTTGGACACTAGTGGATAAGAAGGACACTGCGGATGTCCTCTCTGTTAGTAAAGCTTTTGATAAAGTATCTCATACTGTTCTGGTGGAGAGGCAGGTGGACACTAGATGATAAGGCATAAGTCGGATCGCTACACTGAAGGAGTAGGTATTAATAGTTCGGCATCAGTGTGGCTCACCACAATCGCCAGTGGACAGCCCCAGAGATCTCTGTGCTTGGCCCCGTTTAACTTTTTTATCAGTGACCCGGATAAAGGTGTAGATTGAACACTCATCACGTTTGCGGGTGACACAAAGCTCAGAAGAAGAGCTAGTGTGGCGGACCCCAAAGGGCCTTGAGAGGCCAGAGCGTTAGGCTGACTGTATTTAGACGACCTTCAGTCAGGCACAACGTGGGGGCTTACCTTTAGGTACAGATGAAATGAACTTCCTGAGTAGAAGACAGCGAGGCATGAAACCTAGTGGTTCTGAAATATCTGGGAGTTTTAGTAGACTGAAAGTTTAATATGAGTCATCAGTACGATGTGGCAACCAAAAAAACACAGGCAGTCTTGGATTGAATTAAGAGGGGCAGAGCTTCCTGACATAGGAAGGCAGCAGTCCCACTGCCTTCTCTTCTCATCATACCTCCTCTGCAGCATCGTGTTTAGCTCTGGGTGCCTCAGATTGAAAAGGACGTTGACAAACCGGAAAAGGCCCGGAGGAGGCCAACCGGACTGGTAAAGGGCCTTGAGCCCATGATCTAGGAGGACTGGTTGAAGGAATTAGGCATGTTTAGCCTGGAGAAGAGAAGACTCAGGAAAGACATGATAGCTGTGGTTAGGTACGTGAAGGGCTGTCACATGGAGAAGCAATCATTAGACTTGCTCTGTTTGGTCTGGAGGGCCGATCTGACACAGTGACCTCTGCAAAGAGGTCAGCCTGGGCTGGATGTCAGAAAGTCCTCATAATGTGAGCGGGCTGCCTTGAAAGGTACTGGGATCCCCTTCCTAACGGTCTTCAGACAGGCTGGATGATGACTTGTTGGGGGTTTATAGTGGACATTCCCGTCATTGGTTTCATTAGCTGGACTGCATGGCTACTGAGGTTTCTTTCTACCTCTCAAATTCTGTGGTTCTATAGTCTTAGAGTACGTAGTTGGATTTTTTTTCCTCTTTCAAAATATAAAAAAAGTACTAATATTTTAAGAAATGATTATAGTATGTGAGGTGTAAAAATGTTTTTTTTTTTTAAATCTGTAATGGCAATTTATCTTGTATTACAACCTTCCATAATTTATCAAACTCCTTTGATTTGTAAAAATGCTTTTTGTTTTTTTAGGCAATTGGGGTTAAGTGACTTGCCCAGGGTCACACAGCTAGTGTCAAATGTTTGGTCTGAGGCCAGATTTGAACTCAGGTCCTCTTGACTTCAAGGCCGGTGCTCTATCCACTGCGCCACCTAGCTGCCCCTGAAAATGCTTTTAATTCCATTATTTAACCATATATAACTCTGCAGGGGTTAGGAGCAAAACAGTAAGCCTTTGCTGAACACATTTATTAATATTTGGTAGTATTTGAATATGTCTAGAGTTATCTGTAAATGTGAGTTTTGGAATAGATGATCTCCCTAATTGTTATGATGTGTTAGTGATTCGCTGATACTGACCCAGTGCAGCTTTTAATGAAATGCATTTCACATAGTGAATTACTCTTTATCTAGACTTAATTATATTGGGGCCATAATCCCCTCCCCCAGCCCTAAACAGATTGTGCGGGTGCGCGCGCACACACACACACCCACACACACCCACACACCAGATATTGAATTGCCTCTTCACCAATTTGTGGGGAATTGAGGCTTATGTCAGAGAATCCTTCAGGTGTTTTGTACTACTGGGCAAGAGACTTACACATGAATGCTTTAATGTTCAGGGATTTGGGCAAGTATGTCTAGTTTGTGACTAACCTCTTTTATCTATGATGTATTGGTATAGGATCCTATTATCACTGTGTACATTTATATAGCTTAGACACAGTGTCTTTGAGGTACTCAACTCAACATTGTTGACTACTAATTTCTCAGATTAAAAAATTCCTTTTTTATAATCTATGAAACCCTGCTGTTACAGTAAAATACCCTGTTTTTAAAGATTTCACACTGTGGAATCATAACATTTTCTGATTGTTTCAATAGCTCTTTTCCTTCTGAACAACATAGTTACCATTTTTTTAACTATTTGAAGATACAAAAGCGAATTTGTCCTCTATATTTTGAAAGCATATAGATATATTCCCAATTAGAAGCATTGATGTCCTGGAAATATGGAAACCAATGACTTTTTTGATGCTATTTGTTTCTCTATCCATCTCATCTTGGTGTAGATATAAGGAACTGATTTAATATTATACAAATATGACTTTCCTTTTTGTGTGACCATAATGATTCCTTTAAGGAATTGTATGTTGGTTGTCTTGTCCAATTAGGTAGATTACTGCCTATAGCCAGTGTTAAGATAACTTACAAATACTAAACATCTCGTTAGATCCTAAGGTGTGGAGTTCCTAGCCCCACTTTGTGTTTTAATATTAGCTAATGTTCTAGCTCTTTGCTGTCCCACCAGTCATCTAATTATTGTTGATGATGATGGTAGTATAGTGTTTTTTAGACTAGTTAATGTGTATTTGTTTAGCTGTAATAGAATAGTTTATAAGAAATAAAATCTGGGGCAGTAGGTACATTTTAAATGTATAAATTTCTAATATCTATGGCATTTAAAGAATTTGCCAGTGTACTATCAATCAATCAGTAAACGTTTATTAAACACCTGCTGTGTGCTAGGCACCATGCTAAGCACCGGGAAAACAAAAAGAGGCAAAAGACAGTATATGCCCTTAAGGAGCTTAAAATCTAATTGGAGAGACAACATGGAAACAAATATATACAAAGGAAGCTATATACAGGACAAATAGGGTCCAGAGGGAAGGCACTGGAGTTAAGAGGGGTTGGGGAAGATTTCCTGTAGAAGATGGGATTTTAGTTGGGAATTAAAGGAAGCCAGGGAGTTCAGTAGTTGGGAGTGTAGGAGGGAGAATGTCCTAGGTATGGGGGGGGCAGCCAGAGAAAATGCCTGCATCTGAGAGATGGAGTGTCTTGTTCATGGAACAGCTAGGAGGCCAGTGTCACTGGATCGAAGGATATGTATTGGAAAGTGAGGTATAAGAATACTGGAATAATTGGAAGGGACTAGGTTATAAAGAGCTTTGAATGCCAAACAGAGCATTTTGTGTTTGCCCCTGAAAGCAATAGGAAGCCCCTGATCTACTACATCTTTTCAGTTCTATGAAAAGTTTTTACTGTAATTGCCTGTGATTTAGAGG